CCACCAGTGCCCAGCAAATCGCCATTTGAAACTGAACAATTCATTAGCATTAAATATATTTGTAATGTTGTGCAACCAGTTCTATCTAAATTCCAAGAGATTTCTTCACTCCAAATTAATGACCTCATGCCCATGAGCAGTTATACCCTTTTCCTGCTACCACAGCGCCTGCCAACTATATTGCACATAGATGGAATCAGACAGTCTATATGACCTGTGGTGCATGACTTCCTTTGGTTAATATCATGTTTCTGAGGAATCTCAAAACATTATATGATAGAATCTCATCCCATTCTGTGTTGTGGCCATATATCACACTTTTTTCTTTTTTTTTTTTTTGTCGGTCGTGGGGCTTGAACTCTGGGCCTGGGCGCTGTCCCTCAGCTCTTCAGCTCAAGGTGAGCACTCTACCACTTGAGCTACAGTGCCACTTCCGGTTTTCTGGTGGTTTATTGGAGATAGGAGTCTCACGGGTTTCTCCTGCCGGGGCTGGCTTTGAACCGTGATCCTCAGATCTCAGCCTCCTGAGTTGCTAGGATTACAGGCGTGAGCCACCAGCGCCCGGCTCACACTTTTTTCTATGACTGAACAGTACTCCATAGTGCTATACCACAGATGTGTTTCCCCCATACCCCATTCATGGACATTTGTTTAGATGCTTACACCTTTTGGTTTGGGTGTGTAGTGCTGCTCTACACCCTTGTGTACCAGGATTTGTTTAGTACTTGTTTTTATCTCAGTATATACCTCGGAGTAGAATGACTGGGATCAGGATAATTCTGTGTGTGTTTTTATTTGTGTGTGTCCCAATCCTGGGGCTTGAACTCAGGGCCTAGCATTCTATCACTTGAGCTACAACTCCCATTCTGGCTTTTTGCTAGTTAATTAGAGATAAGACTCTAGACTTTCCTGCCCAGGCTGGCTTTGAACCACACAATCCTAGGATAAGTCTCCTGAGTAGTTTCCCAGGCATGAGATACCAGCACCCCACGGACTCTTTAATTAAAGAAAAAGTTCAATTGTGATAAAATACCCTTTACATAAAGTTTACCATCTGAACTATTTTTAGAGTACAGTTCAATGGCATGAAGCGTATTCACACTGTTATGCAATAGCTACCATCCATCTCCAGAACACTCTATCCTGCAAAACTGAGACACTGAACCTGTTAATAAATAACTCCTCTCTCCTTCCCCTAACTGCTGGCAGCCACGATTCCATCTGTACATGAATGCGACTACTCTAGGTGCTTCACATCAGTGGAATCTTGCAAGCAGTATTTATCTTTTTATGACTGACTAATTTCATTTAGAATAATGTCCTTACAATTCATCCATGCTTTAGCATGTGTCAGAATTTCCATCATTTTGAAGGATGATTCACACACACACACACACACACACACATACACATACACATACAAACACGCACATTTTGTTTATTTGTTCATCCATCAATGGATGGTTGAATTGGTTCCATCCTTTGCTTATTTTGAATGATGCTTATTATGTTCATACTCTCTTTGAAATCCTGCTTTTAAATCTTGTGGGTATATACCCAGAAGTGCACTTGCCAGATCATATCCTAATTCTGTTTTTGTTTTTTGTTTGTTTTTTTGTCCTGGTATCTGGGTTTGAACTCAGGGTACTTGCTTGCTTGGCTGGGGCTCTGCTGGCTTTTCTTCATTATTTTGGAAATGTTGTCTTATAGACTTTTCTGCTGCCTTGACTAGCTCCAGCCTGAACCTCTGGATCTCAGTCTTCTGAGTAGTTAGAGTTATATGTGTGAGCCATCTGTACCCAGCTCAGTAGTTCCTGGGATGGGGGGGAAAGGGCCATATGCTGGGGCTTGAACTCAGGGCCTGGGCACTGTCTCATAGCTTTTTCACTCTAAGTTGGCACTCTTAAGCCATAGTTCTGCTTTTAGCTTCTTTAGTGCTTAATTGAAGATTAGAGTCTCACAGACTTTCTTGCCCCAGATGGCTTTGAACCATGATCCTCAGATCTCAGCATCTTGAGTAGCTAAGGTTGCAGGCGTGAGCCATTGGCACCCAGCTATTTTCAATATTTTGAGGAACAAATTATTGTAAAGGTGATGTACAGAGGGATTACAGTTACATAAGTCAGATAAAGACTACATTTCATTTTGGACAGTGTCACCCATTCCCAGTAGCTGTATAGTTCATTTTCAAGATTCCCAGTAGCAATGCACAAGGGTTAAATATTCTCCACATCCTAACTCTTGCTCTTTTCATTTAACCATTTTTTGTTAGCATACATTAGTGTATGGGGCAGTACATTATGATATCTCCACACACCTATACATGGAATATAACATATCTCTATCAACCTCTCCTCCCTCGTCACTGTCCCTTATCCAACTCCCCTTCTTAAAGCTGTTTCAACAGGTTTCACTTGTACTATTTTCATACATGTAAATCAACTGCTTTGGCCCTATCCACCTTCATTCACCCTCCATTCTCCCACTGCTATCCAGCCCCCAGCAGAGCCTGTCACTCATCCTTTAAAAAAAAAATAGCCTTCCTAGTGTGCATAAAGTGGTCCTTGTGGTTTTGATTTGAATTTCCCTAATGACTAATGAGGAAGAGTGTCTTTTCATATGCTTTTGTTAGTCATTTGTATAACATCTTTGGGAAAATGTCTATTCAAGTCCTTTGCACATGTTTGAATTGGGCTGCCCCTGCCTGTTTTTGTATTTAGTTATGCTTCTAAACTTGCTGCTCCTCAAAGATGAGAGCATGCATTTTACATCTTATTATCTTAAGCCACCTGTTGGCTGAGAACTTGGGCCACGTGGTTATAATGTGGGCCCTGAGGTGAGGAGAGAGAACAGGACTGTGGAGGGCTGGGCTGAGCTCCAGAAGGGCTGGAGTGGAGTGCTTATGGAGAGCTGGCCCCTGGAGAAGCTTCCCTCTCTACCCCACAGGTCCTCTTGGAGCATCAGCACAGGTACTAGGAAAGGTATTGACTCTTGTTTCTGCAAAGACTCAAGCTCCTAGACCTCAAGACCTGCCCTTTCATCTGTGTTTCTGCTTAGCATTGCAACAGTCCCCTGGGAGGGGGGAATGTGCTTAGGACCTGCCAACCTAAGATCTAGAGAACAGGGCTCCCAGCCCAACCCTTGGGAGCATTCTATCTCCAGCCAGAGTTGCATGCAAATGACCCAGAAAACAGTCTGAGATGGGTGGGCAGGTGGCTCATATCTCACTGTCCACACTGATTCTATTCCAGGAAATGAGTGGTATAGACCCACAAACTGACCCCCCTTTTAGAAATTGATTAATTCCCCCTAATTCTGGGAAGAAGCTCTCTCTGCTAGAGCAGAAAAGAAAGCCAAGAACCCAGAGATCCAAAATCATTCTGTCCCTGAATAATTCTCCCAGAGACTTGCTGAGTCTAGCTTTGGTTACACTGTCAAGAAAGGGATGGGGGGGCGGGGGGAGCTGCCTTACACAAGCCAGCAGGCTGCCTGGTTTACGGAGAATCATTTGAGATGATCCCACCTCCCCTGGGTCTGAGATTCTCTGGGAGAGTTAACGCCAGAGATTTGCTTTTACATTTAGTTTTTCCTTACCAAAAAAAAGGCGGGGGAGGGGCACATACAATTCATATAAACACCAGATTTTACAAAATAATGTTGAATGAAACACAGGAGCTGTTTTGCTATTGTTACTGTTCTGTTTGTGGTACTGGGGATCAGGGCCTGGGTTCCACTACTGAGCGACACTTTTTTTTTGGGGGGGGGGTCAGTCTTGGGGCTTGTACTCTGGGCCTGGGCGCTGTCCCTGCACTCTTCAGCTCAAGGCGACTGCTCTACCGCTTGAGCCACAGCATCACTTCCGGTTTTCTAGTGGTTAACTGGAGATAAGAGTCTCACGGACTTTTCCGCCTGGGCTGGCTTTGAACCATGATCCTCAGATCTCAGCCTCCTCAGTAGCTAGGATTACAAGTGTGAGCCATCAGTGCCTGGCCTGAGCAACACTTCTAACCCCATTTTTTCTCTTATCAATTAAGATGAAACTCATGTAGCAAGTTTAACCATTTCAAAGATACAGGGCTGGAGGTGTAGCTCCGTGGTAGAGCATATGCTTTGTATGCAAACGACCCTAGGTTTGATTCTATCACCAAAAATTTTAAAAATTACACAATTCAATGGCATTTACATTCACTTTATTGTGTAATCATCGCCCCCAAGAGGGACTCTATACCACTAAACAGTTTCTTCCTAGCCAACCCCTGACAACTGCTAATCTGCTTTCTGTCTCACTGGATGTATGTATTCTGCATATTCCATGTATATGAAATCATAGGTAGCTATCTGTGAACTATAGGACCTACCCACCCACCCCTACCCCCATCTGCTGTCTTGCCATAATCAGGAAATAAACTTTCTAGATATCTAGAATGCATAGGAACTCCCTACTGAAATCAGTAGTGAAAATATCCCACAAAAGGATTTTACCTCTGCAGTCTCTCCAAAGCATAGTATAGGGTACTGAAGTAAGGTGCTGCCCCTCAGGATGGATGGGCAGACCCAGGTGGAAGAGGGAGCAGAGAAACCAGAGGCATCTTCAGGGCACCCAGGACCCAGGCAGAGGCAGTAACAGCTTTAAGAGCCAGATCCCACTCAGCTAGAGTGTGACCACCATGCTGGGGGCTGCCAGGGGTCGTCCAGTCCCCCCACCCTCCACACATACAGTGCCAGCTCTCGTGAGCATCTAGGAAGCCCTGCCTCTAACTGCATCTCCTGTGTGTGTGTGTGTGTGTGTGTGTGTGTGTGTGTGTGTGTGTGTGTGTGTGTGTGTGTGTAGAGAGAGAGAGAGACAGAGAGAGAGAGAGAGAGAGAGAGAGCGCAGTTCAGGAAAACCCAAGTTCATCTGCCAAACTCTGGATACACCCCTGACTGTTCCGGGCTTTTCTTTCTGCCTTTCCTTAATCTCATCTGGGCGTGCTCTCTTAAAGGGGAAGTGGTGCGTTCTGACTGGCCAGGGCCCGCAGCCAGGAGCCAGGAAACGTCTACTAGCACGAGTGGCCTTGCCCAGCATGTCGCTGGCTCAGCCTCCTTATCCAAACAGCAAAGCTGCCTCCCTGGGATGTGTAAGTGTGAGCGCAGGGCACGGTCACCACCCAGGGTGGCGTGGGGCTGGGCACAGGTCACGGAAGACAGAGCCTGGCAGGCCGAGCACGCTGGCAACCCAGGATGCCTGTGCTGAGATGAGCTTTAGCGTAGACAAGGCCCCTGGTCTGGGGGCAGGAGCAGGAGCAGGGACAGGATTGAGGCGTGCAGCGGGGTGAGCAGCTGCGTCGCAGAGTCAGGAGTAGGAGGCTGGGTTGAGGACCAGGCTATTTTGGACAGCCCTTCTGGAGGAATAAGCATCGGGTCTGGGAAAGAGGGGAGTGGAAATTTTTATCATACACCTTTCAGAGCTGTGGGAAGCCAGCTCTAATGAACCCTACCAACTCACCACCCCCACTTTGCAGTATTTATGTGCAGTTCAAGTGATAGATACTTTAGGCCTTTCTAGACTCAGTAATTGTTATTTCTTTGTCATCTTTCTATGTATTCTGTGTTGAGACATGTTTCAGGTGATTTCTATTCCATTGCACAAATGGCTTGAAACTTCTTTCTTTTCTATTTGTGGGTGGGGAAGGGGGGTTCCAGTGTGACATCGTGAGCCCAGAGTAAACCTGGGCTCTGAGTAAACCACGGTAGCTGGCTCACTAGTGGACTGGCTGGCTCACTGGGATGATTGGCAGTGAGTTTGGCCTGGTTTCTAACTAGAGCTTTGTTTCCTGTGTGCCCATAGAGGAATAAAGAGGAAAACTCACACACACACACGCTCGCACATGCATGCACACACTTCCTCACTAAATACCACAAGTGAGAGAGTGACAGTAGGAAGATAGAGCTTTGGGATGTTTGAGGGCCCCATTCTACCCTGGACTTTTGTTTGTATGCAAGTGATAGTTTATCTTAAACTATACACAAAGTTTTATTTTCACTAAAATAACTCAAGCTTTTTTCCTCCAAAAGAAGAGAATGGAAAGGGGGGGCGGGGGAATGTGTGTGTGTGTGTGCACACGCATATGTTGACAGACACAACCACACCCTGCTTCAAGACAACTTCCTGTTTGCCACTGCCAACTGCCATTCTAAGGAGAACAGAAATGGTTCCGTTAGTGGCTGCTGCAGGACCACGACAGCCTGTGCGGTGAGTGGCTCTGAGTGACACTGAGCGTAGCCTGAGGGAAGACTTTGTCCTGTCTATGGAGTAGGGCTCCTGTACTATCTGAATTGGAGGTTGATAGAAATAAAGTTTTGATGGCATCTCCTCCTCAGCCTGTATTCCTCAAATAGTGCACTCCTGTAAGGTTCTTATAAATGGAAAATTTTTAATCCAGGTTCAGGGAAAAGGCTATGAGCTCTCTACGTAGGAAAGCTACAACCTGTGATTTAAATGGGGGGGAAAAAGGAGCCTACCTGTTCGTGTACTCTATGTGAAGTAACTAGGATGAGTTGACAGTTCAGTAGTCATCTCTTAACACTCTTTATTTGCCAATAAACGTAGTAAGGGCTGGTTAGCATGTGACCTTTTGCTAAATGCCAGAGATATCAGATGAACAGAATACCTGCCCTTAAGGTGTGTCCAGGCATAGATCACATAGGCCAGGGAAGCAGCAGTAATAGGATGTGACATGCTGAGAAGGTGCCGTGGGGGTTCCTGCCCAATTGTAACTATCACGTCATTGCTTGTCATTGACTTTTTTTTGCAGATCGGAAGACTGGAGTTCAGGGGTTAAGTTACTTGCTCAACTCAGAGCTAATAAGTGACAGAGCTGGGATTTGAGCCCAGATCTTTCTGATTCCAGAGACAGTGGTGTTTGGTCCATAGTTCCAGTGATTCCCAAAGCTACTAGAGCATGAAAATCACCTTAGAACCTGCTTTTAAAATGCAGATTTGAAGCTGGTATCGATGGCTCACACCTGTAATCCTAGCTACTCACAAGGCTGAGATCTGAGGATCATCACGGTTCAAAGCCAGCCTGAGCAGGAAAAGTCCATGAGACTCTTATCTCAATTAACCACCAGAAAACCAGAAGTAGAGCTGTAGCTCAAGTGGCACAGCACTAACCTTGAGCAAGAAGAGCTCAGGGACAGACTCCAGTGCCTGAGTTAGGTCCCACAACTGACAAAAAAAGATAGATGGATGGATGGATGGATGGATAGATAGGTAGGTAGGTAGGTGGATGGATGGATAGATAGATAGATAGACAGACAGACAGACAGACAGACAGACAGACAGACAGACAGACAGACAGACAGACAGACAGATAGATAGATAGATAGATAGATCGAGGGGCCTAGCTCTTCTATCACAGAAGAACAGGAGCACCAGTTGCCCTCTGAATCTTGATATGAAACCTGCAACTTCCTTTGCTTCCTACCACCAGGATTCCCCTCTGTGGGCCATAGAAGGCATGCCCTGTGATGGATAAGGCTTTTATGTGTGTAGGCAAGGTGTTTGGGTAAGGGCCACTAGTGGTCACACAAGACAGTCTTGGGAAGTCTGAGTCCAGCATGTATGTGTGCCAGTCCTGAAGGTTGAACTCAGGACCCGGGGTGGTGTCCCTGAGCATTTTTGCTCAAGGCTAATAATGCTTTACCACTTGAGCCACAGTTTTACTTCTGGCTTGTTAGTGGTTAGAGATAAGAGTCTCTCAGACTTTCCTGACTGAGTTGGCTTCAAACCCCAATCCTCAGATCTCAGCCTCCTGAGTAGATTACATGTGTGAGCCACCCATGTAGCCATGCTATTTAATATCTTTTCCTGTTTTATTTTGTTTTGTGTTGGTTTTGTGTCAGTAGCGGGGTGTGAGCTCAGAGCCGTATACTTTGCTCAGCTTTTGCACTTACAACTGGTACTCTACCACTTGAGTCATGCCTCAAGTCCAGTTTTTTGCCCAGCTTTGTTCCAATGTATTTAGCATTAGGAATTCCACTTTATGTACTTTTTCCACAAAGATACCGTAGCCCAAGCCTCCCAGTGTCCCTGGGGTGGAGATCATGTCAGCTATACCATCTTAAGTTTGGTTCCAACAGTTTACCTGAAAGCTGGAAGCCACCAATTTTCACCAAAGCCATGGCTCCTCCTGTTAACACTACTATTACATGTACAAATTCTGTTTGACAGTTGCTGGGTGGGATTACACCCATGGAGAATGTCAATTTCTTGCAGGTAGAGGTTCATGTTAGATCCACCAGGGTAGGGGATAGAGACTCAGGAGAGCAGCTGAAGTACTGGAAAGCTTAGTGTTTTTCAGAGGATCACAGCTCTGGCTGGAGGTGGAGGGATTCAGGGAGGCGTGGATGTCCTCCCTTCTGGGCCTCCAGGCAGAGCTGCCTTCAGAGAGCCCTGTCTGTTCTTCAGCCATTCAGAATGACTAATTCAGTGGTCAGCCAGGGATGTGGAGGGTACTGGTCCCCACCTTGAGGGAACACTCTGATTATGATGGTCCAGCAATGACAGTGTCTTACACCCCATGCTCCATATTCCAGGGCCTGGCATAAGGGAGTTACCTAGGAAATGCTTTTTGCAAAATGAGTGAATGAATGAAGAGGTTTAACTTGTGTTTCTCTTTCCTTCCTATCTTATATTTATACCTGTTTCCTCTCCTTTGCCCTTTCTGTTTAAAGAGTACTTTGGTACTTTTTCAGTCTGTCTCTTTCTTTTTTCCTTGTGTGGCCTTAAGTGGCTTAAACAAAAACAGAGCCTATTAAGCCATCTATCATATATCTTTCCTTCTTTTTCCTCATCTTCATATTTTATGTTAAGTGTTTTAAGAAAGTAAAGATTGATATTTCCGTCGTATTTGTGATATTTTACATTTTCCTGTGGCCTTGGGTATGCTATTTCACTTACACATTTCCTTAGATTGAGATCACCCTCATATCTGTCATTTTCGATTGTCTTATTCTAGATTATTCAAGTTGTTTGTAGTATTTTTATTACCATAAACATTGCTGCTGAGAATATCTTTGAACTTTTCTTTTGATTTATTTCCTTACGGTCTTTTTGTTTGTTTGTTTGTTTTAACTAACATTACCCATTACCAGATCAAAGGTTATAAATGCTTTTTAGTTCCTGTTATTATCATCAGGGTGCTCTCCAGGAAAAAAATATATATAATCCTTTAAAAAGCCCCCCTTCCTGGGCCATATGTACATGTGCTTGTTTCTTGTGGGTTTGCCTTTTAGCTAGACTGTCCGTCTAGGTCATCCCTAGAGGCTGATAGAAATGTTTCAGGTCCTGGAAAAATCCCTGGGACTCCCCAGGTCCTACTCAACCATGGCTGGTGCCAGGAATTTGCACCTTAATATAAACCACCAATAGAAGGACAGGTGGGAGGAGGATTGCTACCAAGATAAGAGGATCATACATTATCAGACTGTGCAGATATGTCCCAGGGCAGCTCTGAAAATGGAAAATGCTTTCTTCAGACCCACCAGGGAACTTGCCTTTCTAAAGTGTAGCAGAAAGGAACATCCAAGACAGAGTGGCCTAGTGAGAAGAGCGTTGACTTTGGGGCCAGGCAAGCCTGGGCTATCCTTCCTTCCAGCTGCAGAAGGCTATGTTCCTTCCTTCCAGCTGCAGAAGATTATGTTACCTTGGTCTTGTTTCATAATCTTTTTTCCCCCGAATTTCCAAATGCATTAGTATCTTTTAAAAGTCTTCATTCTTTAAAAAAAAAAATTGTGGGCTGGAAATGTTGCTTAGTGGTAGAGTGCTTGCCTCAATACATGAAGCCCTGGGTTTGATTCCCCAGTGCCACATAAACAGAAAGCTGGAAGTAACGCTGTGGCTCAAGTGGTAGAGTGCTAGCCTTGAGCAAAAGAAGCTCAGGGACAGTGTCCAGGTCCTGAGTTTAAGCCCCAGGACTAGGAAAAAATTAAAAATTTTTGTTAATATAGAGGTGATGTACAGAGGGATTACAGTTACATAAGTCAGGTAATGAGTACATTTCTTTGTGGATAATATCACCCTTTCCTCCCTCTCTCCTACTTTTTTCCTCCTGTCCCCATTACAAAGTATACAGTT